TTTATAACGAAATTCTAGCCTTTGCCCAGTCAAATGTCCATAGACACCCATATAAGAAAAAAATTGGATATAACAAATTAGTTATAGTGAAATTTTGGTTATAACAAAGGATTTCTTATGTCCCCATTCCCCTGATGTCCCCATCAGATAAAAAGAATTTTCCTTCGTGGCAAGTGAAGGTTATTCTAAACCCCTTTTTCCTTTCTTTTTGTTCTCGCCTGGGAATGACGGGTTCAAGTTCTTATCTTAATCTTCACCCATATCTGTCCCTTGACTATTAGTTATCACCCACATCTGTCCCACAGGGATTATTAGCCTATCACATTAAAAAGACACCTCCCACAGTATCCCTGGCCTCCTAAACTTTCAATTGTGTAGAGGACTTTTTGGGTCATTCTGCAATCTGAACTTTGTTTGCTCATTCATCAGAGTTTTCATGGATTTGTTTGTCAAAGTTCATGTGTTCACTATATCAGCAGCTGTGAAATGACACATCTGGCCAAGAAGAGGAAATGCATGTCTATTGAACTGAAAATAGACATTCTTCGAGAAGTCAAGAAAGAAAAACTGAACAAGGGTGAGATTTCTGCAAAGTACAACATCCCACCATCAACGCTACCTTCCATCGTCAGCACAAAAGAACAAATTTGCATGGAATTCTTCAATGCAAGCTTTGCTCCAGGAAGAAAGAAGTTGAGGGGTGCAAAATATGGTGACTGAAGAAACTTTATTTGAGTGGTTCCAGCAAGCATGTGCCTGCAACATCACCCTTGATGGGAACACAATGTGGCAGAAAGCAGCATAACTGGCGAAGGTATTGGGGATCGATAAATTTGATTGCTTTTCTCTCTCTTCTTTATGGTTGGCTCTCTTGCTTCAAGAACACACATGGTATGGTGTTCGAGAAAGTTTGTGGGGAAGCCGGAAGCGAGCCTGATGAAATTGTCAACAAATGGAAGAGACTCAAAAGGATTATATGCAGCCATTGTCCAGAGGATTTTTTCGACGTCAATGAGACACAAATATTCTTCAATCTCACACCGGAAAAAGCTATGTAGGTAACTCATACTCTGGAAAACAAACAACTAATCATACAGATTAATTCCTTTGTAATCCCCTAGGCTTTACCTGTGCCTTGATTTAAAAGTGAGTGAAAACTATGAGTTGAAGGTGACGTTAGACCTGATCCTCTGCACTTCTCTCCCTTCAGCTATGAGCAAGGAGTACAGGAGCGGCATAGGTGGTAAGAGGAGCAAAGAATGCCTTACAGTGTTCCTGTGCACCAACATGTCAGACACATAAAAACTGCTACCAACTATCATCAACAAGTTCAAGAGGCCTTGTTGCTTCGAGGTATGTGACATCTGCCTGCAAATTACCACCACAGTAAGAAAGCATGGATGATTAAACCTCTTTTCCTGGAATTCCTCTGATGCCTTGATGCAAAACTAGGATGCAAGGGAAAAAAAATTCTCCTCTTCATCGACCATTGCCCTGCCCGTCCACTGGGCTTGACAAAGCTAAGAAATGTGGTGTGCTTTCCTGCCAATTCAACGAGCCAACTACAACCCCTAGACCAAGGGGTGATTGCTACATTGAAGCAGAAGTATTGGAAATGACTCATTCATTCTCTTCTGTGGCACTTATGTACAAAGGGAATGGACCATGGATTACCGAAATGGAACGTGCTTGATGCCACACACCATCTCGTCACAGCGTGGAATGACGTCAGTTGGAAACTCTTTTTCTTTTGAAATTCCAGTTTCTCATGTTTTACCCTTCTACAGATAAGTCCTGATAACATAGCAAACTGCTTTCGAAAAGCAGGCTTCTGCCATGACGAATCTACACAGGAGGAAACTGATGTTGCTCCTGCAATGGAGATTGACAATGTCTGGGAAGAAATCGCCTCTCAGTTGCAAGCAGACTGTGAATTTACACAATTTGTGAATTTTGACGAGGACATTCCCATGTGCAAACCGCTTCCCAATTCTGCTATGTGTGCAGAAACTCATGGAGCTATGGAGCAAGAAGATGCTGTCAACAAGGAGGAAATGGAAGAAGAACCCTAAAATTTGCCTCAGAATCCATCTGGTTTGGTGGAACAATTAAAATCCATCCCCATACCAATTGTTGGCAAGCCAACTTCTCCTTTTGCATGCACATCATCCAAGAAGCATGTATGTACTTTGAGGAAAAGACTTCTGCCACTGGTCTCTAAAACTCTTGGCACTTTTTTCATGATACATAAAATCAATACCTATGGCATCAAAAGATAAAATAAAATTTCATCAAATACTTTATTCTCTCAAACATATTGCTTTTGAAGCAAACTTTGGGGATATGGTAGCTCAAACCATGTTAATGGGCACTTTACACAGCTGAGAGAATAAATTATGATTTTTTTTTTCTCTCTTGATGCCAGAGGTACTGAGATTTTGTGTCATGAAAATAAGTGGCAAGAGCTTCAGAAGACAATGACAGGAGTATTTTCTTTAAGGTGCCTTGAGAAAACATACATCAGCATAGCATATAAGAAGAGAAATAGGCTTGCCAACATTGGGTATGGGGACAGACTTCAATTGCCCCATGGTGAAAAACCGAACCAGATGGATTTTGAGTGAATTTTGGACAAACCATGGCACAAATCATGACATGAGTGAGTGCTTTGCAAAGGTAACAGCTAGCTGAAGATATAAAAATATTTTTGGAGATATCATAGGTGCTGAAAATTGAAAGGTTACAAATGTGACTTGCATGCATCAGAATATAGCAAAAGTTATCAAAGTCATAGTGAGATACTGCATGGGTGCATTTCACAGCCAGTATAGGACCCCTGAAACTTCAGAAAAACATGAAATTAGAGAGAGGAGTTCAGCAGGCAGCTTCACTGCAGTTGAGCTTTCCAGAGTAAAGAAAGTGACAAGAGTTTCTTCTGGGAGCTCCATGAAAAGCCTCCTTGCACTTCCACATCTCTCCTCCCAGATGCTGCTCTTTTTGTTCAATAAGGAGCCACGTCACAGGGCTGCATTGACTCACCTGGAGAAACAGAGAAAAATGTTACATTACACTCACTTAGCCATAAATTTTCCAGCCTTATCCAAGAATTCCCACAAACCCTGAAATAAAAGGTGTCATAAAAATTAGCACTGCCAAACTCAATTTCTTGGCTACCATCCTAAACTTAAAAAAGGTGCCTTTAGTGAATTAAATAAACAAGAATGATTAGTTTTTGTACAGGGTGTTTCACAAAAGCTTACCATTTTGAATTGCCATGACTTCTTCATTATAATGAGGTTTCACTTTGAACAGCAACAAAATTGCAGAGAAACTCAAAAGTGTTCGTTCTAGTGGAAAAAATGTTCAAAATCAGCACCTCTAGCTGCAGAACAGCCTCAAAGACATCGTGAAAAGATTTGTACTGCTGCCTTCAGTACTTCCTGTGGAATGCTTCAAACTGCCCATTGACTCATTCCCTTGAGTTCTGCAATATCTGACTTGTCCTGTAGGATTAATTTTTGCTGTATCCCTACAAGTGCAAGTCGAGTGGAATGAGGTATGGGGATTGTGCCAGCCACTCAATGTCATCTCATTGAGAAATGAGCCAAGTGAATCTCTCTCTCAGCCACTCAATACGAATTCGGGCAGTACGGCAGGGTGCTCCATCTTGCTGTAAAAAAAAATATTCCATTTGTGCATACCAAGTATCACTTAAAAGGACAATTTTCTTGTCAAAAGTGCCAAAATAAAATATTACAAATGGAATATTTTTTTCAAATAATTTTTTCCAGCAAGATGGGGCAACCTGCCATACTGCCCACATTTGTGGTTGAGAGAGAGATTTTCTTAGTGGCTCATTTCTCACTGAGATGAAATTGAGTGGCTGGCACAATACCCAGACCTCAGTCCACTCGACTTTTACCTGTAGGTATACAACAAGAATGAATCCTTCAGGGCAAGCCAGGCATTGCAGAACTCAAGGGAACAGGTCAATGGGCAGTTCAAGGCATTCCACAGGAAGTACTGAAGGCAGCAGTACAAAACTTCTCTCTATGTATTTGAGGCTGTTCTGCAGCTAGGTATTCATCTTGAACTTCTTTTCCACTAGAACAAACATTTTTGAGTTTCTCTGCAATTTTGTTTTTGTTTCAGTAGAATGCTCATGATAATAAAGATGTTATGGCAATTCAAATTGGTAAACATTTTTGTGAAACACCCTGTATAATAACAACTGCATCAAACTGGATTAATTATTTATTGAAATAATGAAAATAAGGCTACATTCCTTTTGACTTTCAATATCTTGATTCAGAGTTGCTTGGTTTCCATGTGGATTTCAGCAAACAAAGTCTTAATCATTCTCATTTGTACCTTAAAAAAACATTTATAGTCTTTTAGAGCGAAAACACAATAATAATATAATTCCTTGAGTTCTTAAACTGTTCTTGAAACATCCAGTACTTCATTTATAAGCCCTGAGTCATTAATGAAATCTTCAATGCAAATGTTTTGTGAACCATGAAGAAGTCAAAGACACCCTGATTTTGGTTCCACATAAAATGGGTTCCCACAAAATTTGGTTCAGTTCCCACAAAATTTCACCAGAACTGGGACTGTTACACTTTTCTATGAATGGCATTTTTATTATAGGATATGAACTGGACTTGAGCATAAATACCTTGAACACACACAAACTTAACCAATAACAAATTAGCTTTGTTCATTATTAATTACTGGGTTACTATTATAAATGTAGATGCAAGTAACTAGGCAATGGGGTAGAGGCACCAGTTTAACCCTTTGACAAGTATGCCTAGATACAGGGTGTTCAGAAAAAGATGCTCTAGTTTTCATCACATGTACCTTCTAAAATAATACACATTGAATTTGGAATTATAGCTTACAAAACACAAGATGTTTGGGAGTTTTTAATTATGAAAACAGATTTTCAATGAGGGAGCCTCCAGCACCCATTATCACCTGCAAGTATCCACCAAGTTTTTCAATAACCGCGAATAATGTTTGCTGATTAATGCTCCCCATGACAGTTCTGATTTCTGCCTTTAATTCTTCAACCAAATGCGAGTTATTCCTGTAGACATTAACCTCCATAAAAAGCAATCACAGGAATTAAGTTCAGGAGAGCATGGTGTTCATGAACATCCACATCCGAAGCGACCAGGATATCCATTCTTATTGTTCTTCACATTGCCAGTGCTTATGAATATTGTTACTAGCCTGTTTATTGCAGATATGCTTGGAGTGTCCCTACATCAAAACTCACTTTGAAAACCACCCTGCACTTGATAACGCTGCCAGTTTGATAAAACTTTTTCACCATAAACACCCGCTGCTCTGTGCTATACGCTAGCTTATTTACTACTGTTTCTCAAAATTAGCATTGTACTACGCAGCTCCAGTGCTAAACTCCCAAGCCTTATGTGTTGAATGATACCACATATAAGGTTGTTGGCAATGTAGTCCAGGAAATATGAGCAATGAAAACTGGAGCGTCTTTTTCTGATGACCCTGTATATATGGGCCAACATCCTCCTGCCCTCCATGTATTCACTACAGGTGATCTAGGCGTAAAAAAAACCCACTCCTCAAAAGGGTTAAAGATGGGCATCTATTTGTGGGCTATTTAGCGATTTCAGCATTCCTAATAAACCTATCCATATTCAGCTGGATTCAACTGATTTCAGTGCATTCACCCCAGCATAGAGTATCTAAGACGGCAGACAATGCAAAATCATTCAAAAGATGGTGCTTCTACCCTCAGTCGAAATGCCACCACAAAAAAAATCTCTTAGAGACTATCTTTGGGGTAGGCTTGCCTCCTGTGGCAGGTGATCTTGAATTTAAACCCAGTCGAGTCTGGTATTTATTACCGAGTGCAAGTGCTTGGGAAGGGGGGCCCAAGCACATAGCCCTCCTGCTTCAGAGTGGAAAGTTAAAATATCACCATGAATACAGGACAAACCCAGGTATCTCCCTGGAGTAACTGCAGGGACTAAATAGTCTCTCTCAATGTTACTTGTGCTAGCTCACATTACGAGGGGGAAGTGGAACCCGTAGGCTGCATGTGAACTGTACTTCAGACTAAATGTACTTCACTGTGAAAAGAAACCTTCAATGAACACTATAACCCTGACTGGATTTGTACTATAATTTTTTTTAAGTGTGCACATAAGTATGGTCACATCCATATGTGGAACCTGGCTCAAAAAGTCTGAGTATCACTGGTTTCAATGAGCAGGGGGAATAGCTAATGTTCCCGAGTCAGGATGCAGTTATAAGCAAAGAGCCTCTTACATCTGGTACTTGATCGTATCTTTCTCAAGCATGCCATCGGATGCCATAAAAAGAAAAAGTGTCTCTTGATGTCCCGAGTTAAAACCATACAGCCCAGTTCTAGATTCCATGTTTTTGTTTAACCCTTTAGTGCTCATGCTATTCTTATTTTCAGGCTAACAAAATTAAGTATTATGCCATGATATTGTAAGACAATTGCAGCTTTTTTGGTAGGAAATGAAAGAACAGATTCTGTAGAATGACATCAAAATTGTTTACATTAGATTTAATAGAAGGGAAATATACCAACTTAATTTCCAACTTCTTGCAAAAATTATACCTCAACCAAACTCTCATTCAAGGTGCTAGTCAGATGAGAACTGACACAGCACTGCCCAACAGTCTAATCTATCAGTCCATGGAATGAAAATGATGTTTGTGATTTTGACAGACTCACAAAAACATCAGTCCGGGAACTCTATTGCCAGACCTCGTATTATAGGTGCACAGTTGACGCCAACAGAAAATAGATGAAAAAATAATTAAAAAATCAAAACGACCTCTCTGTGTTCAAGCTACGAAGATAAGTTTGAAACAGTCTCGCATGTTGTATTCCAGTCGGTACGCTTTTTCTCAGTGTTCAGTTGATTTTCACCAAAAAATCACATCATGCTAATACTTTTGAGCGCTACTGTATGTACTTTGAGGAAAAGACTTCTGCCACTGGTCTCTTGGCACTTTTTTCATGATACATAAACTCAATACCTATGGCATCAAAAGATAAAATAAAATTTCATCAAATACTTTATTTTCTCAAACATATTGCTTTTGAAGCAAACTTTGGGGATATGGTAGCTCAAACCATGTTTATGGGCACTTCACACAGCTGAGAAAATAAATTATGATTTTTTTTTCTCTCCTGATGCCAGAGGTACTGAGACTTTGTGTCATGAAAATAAGTGGCAACAGCTTCAGAGGACAATGACAGGAGTATTTTCTTTAAGGTGCCTTGAGAAAACATACATCAGCATAGCATATAAGAAGAGAAATAGGCTTGCCAACATTGGGTATGGGGACAGATTTCAATTGCCCCATAGTGAAAAACCAAAACCAGATGGATTTTGAGTGAATTTTGGACAAACCATGGCACAAATCATGACATGAGTGAGCGCTTTGCAAAGGTAACAGCTGGCTGAGGATGTAAAGATATTTTTGGAAATATCATAGATGCTGAAAATTTATAACTTTTGCTATATTCTGATGCATGCAAGTCACATTTGTGACCTTTCAAAGTCATAGTGAGATACTGCATGGGTGCATTTCACAGCAAGTATAGGACCCCTGAAACTCTAGCTGCAGAACAGC